GGTGGGCGGGGCTGAAAAGGCAGTGATGTAGAAGCAGGGGTTGATCATCTTCTGTGGAGGTGGTGTTTAGCCACACTATTATGTCATAAAGTGGCACATTCCAAAACCTGTCGTTTTGGTAGATTGGCTTCAATATAAGCTGTTTTCAGACTAATGAGAAAGTTTTGAGTTCTGAAACTTACAGAATGTTTATAGCACAATGACCTCTTATATATCAAAATATCAAGGGAATTTGGATTTCTCAGTTCATGACCTCTTTAAAATGTTCCCCCACAGCTTATATTTATGTAAATAACTGCTTCGTTGTTGTGCACTTATGGAATGTAAATTACTGGAAAGTCCTAAATGTTTTCTCATTATGATTTGACTTGGAATCTTTTTGACTAAGCTAGCTAGAAATTTGTGTCTGCTCACACCTTTTGACCCAGAAACACAAATTAATCTGTACCATGGCTGCCGCTCAAATCTGCAGCTTTTATTTTCCGACTAAATAAGCATGTTTGCCTGCTCTTTCTCTCTCTCTCGTTCTACCCCCTTTTCTTCTTACTATGCTGGATTCATTTAAATGCCAATGAATCAATCTAATAAATTGCCTGTGTTTAATTTGATCTGCTGCCAGCTAGAGATTGTTGGTTTTTGATAAAAAAAAAATAAAATGGAGTAGACAAAGTGTAGTGTGGAAACTACTACAGAGTTTGAGTAGGTATTAAAAAGACATTTATAGTGTGTTTCTCTCTCTCTCTCTCTCTCTCTCTCTCTCTCTTTTTATTTGCATAGATATCCAGGAGTTTTATGAAGTGACCCTGCTGAACTCTCAGAAGAGCTGTGAGCATAAGCTGGTGGAGGTGAATCACATGGCTGAGCAGTGGGAACACACTGCCACCAACTCAACCTCACCAACAGAGGGTCCGCAGCCAGCCTCCACACCGCCAGAGGTGAGACAAAAGAAAAACTATAACAAACATTTTAATTATCATTATAAGAGGTCTTAATTTAAAGGATGGAAAATTGTGATCCTGCCTAAATTTATTGCTAAACTTCAAAAGTGTAATGAAATTACTCATTTGTAAGGGAATTAATTATTATTAATTCATTCAGGTTTTAAAAGGACTCGAATCTGAAAATTCTGAGTCAACCTGATTAAAGCTGAATTCAAATCTGATAGTTTACACTTTAAATCAAGGGTCGTCCAGCGAGCCGGTGATTCTTAGTATATTTTAACAACTTGAATATCTGTATTCTCCCTGGCCACGGGTTAATACGATTATAATAATTCGTAAGCTCTTAGAGAGGTAACGTAATCTTTGGCAAAAGGGTTTAACCTTGAAATTATATGACACCAAACAATGATTCGTTATAAATGAAACATGAATTTTATTGGCTATTCTAGATTACATCAAAACTAAGCTAAAACACACATACACACAAACATACAGTTTCTTTAGAATGAGAGTTGACGGAGTCGTTAGTCGTTAGAACAAAATTCTAACTCGTTTTCACGAGTGATTTAAATTCACCTGAGAGAATTCACCAAGCAGAGAATTTTAGCTTATGTTTACTGCTTAAATTAGCTCGTTCACCAGTTCAGCAGAGATAAGATTTTGTTCGTTTACTTGCGTTCTGCTTGGTTGACAGCTGAAAAGCTGAGATGATGTCGTTGCTGACACGGGCTTCCTGGATGGCTGCTGAGGGAACCCCGGAGCTTTCGGATTGGTCGCTGAGGTGACGTTTGGATGACGTCCTTTTGGGGAGACCCCTCGTTGGATTGGTTGGTCTCTTGATGACGCCAGAAGCTTGAGCAGTTTTGCTACAGTCTGAGTTTGCAAGACTCAGAGTTCTTTGAAGATCGCGAAGTTTCACTGAAGTGTTTGAGTTTTAGATGACCGATCGCTTTGATGGTAAGCGTGTGAGCACAAGTTGGAGTGCTCTTAACACGGCGACAGGCGAAAGCAAGCAAGCAAATCTGTTCTGCATTGGGTTTTTGACCCGCTGCATAAGTCCATCCCACGACGCGATCTTCCAATCGGCTTCTTGCAAGGCGGAGCGTGCATACATTAACAAGAGGCTCCAATTTATTATGTGGAGAAATGAAGATTTGCAGGTTTTGTTAATAACTTCTATATAGTGTCGTACAACACATACTGTTTGAAATAACAGCTTTTCACTTATTTCAATATTCTGCAATTATCACAAGTTTACGTTCAATACTAAACCACATATCTTACACACATATTAATAACCTCATTTCCTAAAAAGGGTAATAAACACTGATTAAAGTTGCACCGATTACATGAACACATCAAGCATATATATATAAGACATACACCATATTATTTGTGAATCTATTGCTCCGATACTTTCAAATGATTGTCGTATGAATCGTCT